ATTTATTTATTGTGTATGGCCAGCTCAGCCCACCAGGGGGCGGGTCTGGCTGGCATGTGGTGCTGGGGATCGAACCGCGGTCCCTGTGCTTTGCCAAGCTTGTTTCAAGTAGGTGCTTTAGACCACTGAGCCATCTCTCCAGCCCCTGCAATAATATTTTAACACTCCCACAAGTGGTTTGCTCTCAAGGCCTAGAACTGTTTCATACCAGGTCAGACACACACTCAGGACCAGGCCTAGCCTTTTCCTAGGGACTCAGGATAGGCACAGACATAGCCGACTCCTGGATCCAGTCTGGGCTGATCCACTCTTGACCCGACAGCCAAGGTCATCCTCTGGTTGGAAGTCCTCATGCGCATCTTATTTTTGCACAGATTAATCCTCACGTCATTCACTGTGCCTAAGTCAACAGACAGGTGCAAGATGTAGGCACCAGGGGCCCAAAGCACTTGGAAAGTCAGATTTTTTGTGGTGTTCAAATTTTATTGAGAGTGACATAAATATAGCAAATCCACTTCATAATATGATTAGGCACTAGGTTCAAGACCTTATTACAGAGTATCTGCGACTCAGCATTAGTTACAATTGGGTCCATAAAAATTGTTGTTTGGTGAGTCTGCTGTGATTGTAAGTTGTGTGACAGCATGGATGGTCCATACAAACCAAATACCTAGAGAAACCCTACCACAGAATTATCAGTACAAGCTGTTAATGACTTGGCATTGTCCAGTGTACCCACGGGTGGAGAAATAAATGGCTCAAATATCCTGTGGACACTCAGATCAATATACGCAATTTTGTCCTTCTACTTGAATAACAGGGTTTGCATGAATCAGGATTGGGAGGACTCCTTGAAGGTGAGAGACTGAAGACTGAAGGTTGAGGGCAGATCGGCAGTCAGCAAGGTAATGATTTTCATGGCTAAGTGTTTCTACACCTAAAAACTAAGAAGACTGCACAATAAGTAAGGTTGTAATCAATAGTTTCATTTAAAAATTTTACTATGCAACCCGTTATGATACAGGTCTGGAGAAATAAAAAAGGTTGACTCTCTACGGAAACAATACTGTGTGATCAGATACAAAAGGTCCTTAGAGTCTCTACCAGGGCCAGTGTTGGAAATGTTAATCAACTGGGAAAAAAAGCCCTCCCACCTTTTCCCCTACATTTACTGAGGGGTTGGTTCTTTACACCAGTGTGTACTGTGCTCCCCTGCTGGTTATGAATGCCACTGCAGGGAGGTTTGTTTCTGGGCTCCCACTTGGATGAAATCGCTGCCTCTTGCACAGTAATATGTGTCTGTGTCCTCCATGATGACTGAGTTCAGCTGCAGAGAAAACTGGTTCTCGGCTGTGTCTCTGGAGACAGAGATGCAGCTCTTGAAGGATAGGCTTTAGTGCTACCACTGTAGGTTATGTACCCCATCTACTCCAGGCTCTTTCCTGGGGGCTGGTTAATCCACAAATAACCATTGGTTGTGATGGAGAATCCAGAGACTGAGCAGGTGATGGACAGGCTCTAGGAAGGGTTTGCCAGGCCAGATTCAGACTCCTTTAGTTGCACCTGGGACAACTGGAAACAAAAAAAAACCTTTCCATCAACCAACTGCTTTCATAATCTTCACACGGATCCATGTCTGACATTAAGGACATTCACCATGAGGACCAGTCCCAGGCAAAGGGGAAGGCCCACTAATCCCATTTTCTAGACAACTTTGCGCCTTCTCCAGAGGTCTTGTCTGTGTCTGAGGAAGGCTCCATGAGCCCAAACAGCCCAAGAGAGTAATACGAATCTTGGTTTAGAAGATAAATTTGGGAGATTCCTTTCCTATGCTGTGGTTGAGACAGAGACCAGGGAGTTTCTGGACCTTGAGCTACTGAGAGGAATCTCTTTCATGAACTCAAGCGGTGTTTAAGTCTGTGGTAAGTGGGAAGTCAATTTCATTGGGATGGTGGTAGCAGGGCAATGATCCCACCTTCTGGATCCCAGATCAGCCTCCTCCAATCCCTTCCCCTTCTTGGGCCCAGCCTGACTCTCCCCTCACAAATGGCATTTGCAACTGCTTCCTCAGCACTCTTATGAGCGCAGCTCCTTTTTTTTTTTTTTTTTTTTTTTTTTTTTTGTCCCTGATCTATTTCCTTGAATGCCACCCTTGCTGCTTGAGATCTTGTTTCACTGCCATTTACTGTTGTCACAAAAGGTCTACCTGCCTCCTGTTCTAAGACATCCTGTGTCCCAAGTTTCTCCTGCTTAAGGTCCAGTAGAAACTGAAAATAAGGCTGTGTGTCCTGTGTTTACCTCATGGGAATATTTCTAGTCCTGGGAGAAGAGAATGAGCCCATCTGTGTTAACTTCCCAGATCCCAGATGACCTGGCTGGTGCAGCTACTCCGTGGTCATGGTGCAGCTATTGTATAATTTCCTTGTTTCAGCTTCCCCTCTTGTTTTCTGGAAGTTGTATCTAGATTCAAATTTCTTATCTCATTACATAAATCCTTTTTGGATAATTATGTTTTACTGACACCATGATAATAATAAGAAAATAATGTCCCTAAAATTCAGCCTAAACACCCACTTGCCAATCATATTGCAAACATATTCTTTTTATCTGTTGATTTCAGGCTGGTCTTTAACTCAACACAGATTTTCATTTTAACTCAACATGAATTTATTGATTTCATGCTGATCTTTTTTTTTTTTTTTTTTCATGCTGATCTTTTACTCAAAGTCATGGTGATTGTTCTGCCTCCAGCTGCTTTGTTCCTGGATAACAAGGGTATGACATGCTACATCTTTCAAAAAGCTATTAGGACAATACACTCACTATTAAGTTTTACATAACTTTTGAACTAAAGGAAAGTGGTCAGATCTTGCCAAAGATTATTGTGGCTAATCTTTGTAGATGCCCTGGATGTTCTTTTCCAGGAAAACATGGGCAACAATCTGATTTTTTAAAAATGTATTTGGTATAGGATCTCAGTACAGAGCTCAAACTTGTAGTGATCCTCCTGTTTTCACTTTCCTCAGTTCTGGGATTCCAGGTGTGTGCCACCATGCTTGGTCTCGGTGGTCAGCTGTGACTGGGAGGGGGGCAGGTACACTGCGCATGAGTTAGAGATACTTAACATCTCATGATTTACTGTTGATGAGTGGAATCAGAAATGTGGGGAAATGTGAATGCTGGAATGGATTTGTCATGTGAATCCTAGTATGTTACACTAGAATGTTCTGGGAAATGTACCCTTCAATAAAACCTTGAGAAATGGATTCATGAGGGCAACACCAGCATTCATGAAAAGCTCTGTCACTGCGTTTCTCTGTATGCCAGGCCTTACTGTGGGACCACAGAGGCTCAATTGGGAAACTTTAGAGAAATGGGTTTACTTTGGCTCGAGAAAGGCAGAAGCCAATTGGCATCAATTAAGCACCAATGCAAAGTGCATGCACTTGCCAAAATAGAAGCAGAAGCAGAACAACAGTCAGAATGCACCGATACTGTAAACCTACAGCTCAAATTAATATGGTCAGTCTTTCTCTCGCCCTTCCCTCAAAAGACTTAAGGCATTTTACTGGCCTAACTACATTCAGGGAGGGAAAATGATATGACATTTCAAGAATCACAGGACACTGATTCTGATCTCACATGAGTTCCAGAAGATCTAAAACAAATAATTGTAACCCTACAGAAAGAATAGAGACTGATGGAGTTCAGGTGATCAATTGATCAATGGAGTTTTAGCAAAAGTTGAACTCACTATTGGTCCAGTAGGTCTTGAATTCATTCTGGTTTTATTTCCTCTATTTCACAATGGGCAGTTGGGATAGATATCCATAGTCCTTGGCAGAACACTCACATTAGTTCTTTAAGCTATAATGTGAGAGCTAGTATAATTGGAAAGGGCAAATGGAAGCCATTAGTGTTGTTTTGCAGTCAAAATAGTAAATGAAAAACAATACTGTTTTCCTGAAGACTGTGCAGAAATTATTGCCACTATCAAGGATAGGGCAACACCAGCCCTATGCTGAAGGATGCAGGGATGGTTGTTCCCACTGTTGTACTTTAGGGTTCTGCAAAGAGAAAAATACAATGCACTACACACTTTAGATTATTGATAGGTCAGGATTCAAAGTTTCCCAGACAACCTGCCCCAAACACCCCCCATTTTGGCCCCATGCAAAGTCAAACCCCAAACCACAGAACAAGTCTGCCTGACTGACCCGGGTAAGCAACCACAGAAACTCTCCTTTGTTAACATCAAAAGTCCCCCACAGATCAGACAGCCCTGCCAAGATTAGCTCTCCCTTGGCTCTTCCAGCCCACAAGCAGGACCCCCCACACACACACATACACAAAAACGTCTTAAAGCCCTGTGCTTTGCCTTGTTCACTGCTGTCTTGGTCTGCTAGCCAGCCAGCCTGCTTCCTGTCCCCAGTAAATCTACTCAGATCAGATTGACTGGTCTGGCCAACTGTGCCAGTTTGTACCTAACATTTGGTGCCGAAAACCCAGAAGGGATGTGAAGGCCTCTGCCGGTCCCTCCCAAACAGGGGCCTTGCTCCAGCCCACCGCCAGCCCTTCTGAGTGGCCTGTGAGCCTTGGGCCACCCTTGCTGACCTAAACACCTAGAACACTGAGTATTCCCTCATCACTCATTCAACTTATCTTAAAATACAAACCTCTTCCATTGTCTAACTTGTTGGGGGGAAAAAAAGACAAAGGGCCATTTTTCCCTTGGGACTTGCTACCTACAGTCAACTCTTCAATTCATCAACAATGAATGTCTCCAAGGCTCCCTTCCCAACTTTAGCCCAGATGAGATCACTTTCTGTACTTTCATTTTCTTTCCTTTTCTACATGTCTTGATCCAGATGACTCACTCACCTCTGCCTCCAACCCTTTTCCCTATGACTCGTTCAACTCATAGCTGGAATAGATATCCTCTAAATTCCTTCACAGTTCCTTCCAGCTTATTTACTTAATGACTAAGAAAGCTGCTAATTTTGAATGGGGCCTGAACGAGAAGAGGCTCTGCAAAAGGTCCAGGCTGCTCTGCCACTAGGGTCATATAATCTCTCAGATTCCATGGTATTTGAAATGTCAGTAGCCAGTAGGGATGCTGGCAGATCCCCATATGTAAATTGATGCAGAAACCTTTACAATTTGGAGAACACCACTGTCATAATCTATAGACAACTACACTGTTTGAAAAATAACTCTTGATTGGGCCTAATGGACTTTAGTAGAAACTGAAATCTTGACTGTGGGACACCAGGTTACCATGGGACCTAAGGTGCCTATCATGAGCTGGATATTATCAGACCCACCAAGTCATAATTTGGGTGTTCACAGCATCATTCTATCATTAAATAGAAATATTATATTGTGTGACCCAGACAGAGCAGGCCCAGAGAGTACAAGTTACATGAAGATATTCCTCAGATATTCATGTCTCTTTCTGCTAAACCATCCCATTTTCCAGCACATACCTATGGCCTCATAGGGTGTATCATATGATCAGCTGATAGATGAGTAAGACTAGCCACTGTTTATGGATGGTTATGCATTTTATGCAAGCACCACCTACGAGTGGACAGTTGCAGCATGACAGTCTCTTTCCAGGATGTCTTGGATGGACAGTGACAAGGGGAAATCTTCACAATGCAAATAATTTTGTGCAGTGCACCTGGTAGTACATTTTGCCTGGGAGAAGAAAAGGCCAGATATGTGACTGTACAATGATTCATGGACTGTAGCCAATGGTCTACTTCAGTGTTCAAGGACTTAAGAGGAATGTAACTGGAAAATTGGTGACAAAGATATTTGGGGATGAGGTATGTGGGTAGACCTATGTGTATGGGCAGAGGATATATAAATATTTGTAACCTATATAAACACACTCCAAAAGTGATATTAGCAGTTCAACAATAAACTGGATAAGACAACCCATTATGTAGATAGCAACCATTTTCTCTTCAGCCACCGGACACCATCCAATGAGTTCATGAACATTATGGACCTTTTAGTAGGGTTATGTATACTCAGCAGCATGAACTCCTGGTTACCAAGCCTGATCTGCCAACAGTCACTACTGAATGGCCAATATGCCAGTAGCAGAGACCAACATTGGTTCCCAGATATGGCAGCATTCTCTGGGGTGAACAGCCTTCAACCTAGTGGTAGGTAGGTTATACACCACTTCTATCATGGAGTGTGCTTTGTCTTTAGTAGAATATTTACCCTGGATATGGATTTAACTTTCGTGCATGTAATCCTTCTGCTAAAACATCCATCTATGGATTCATAATATGCCTTACCCACCATTGTGGAATTCCACACAGGACTGGCTCTGACCTTAAGGAATACACTTCACATCTAAAGAAGAGAGGTGATGGTCTCAGGCTCATAGTAAATTGTAACAATCCAATCTGTGTAGAATGCCAAGTGGTCCACAACCTTCAGGAATGAAGATATTGGTCAGTACACCAGGAAAAGAAACATGACCTGCTGAGATGCTGCGTGAAGCCCAAGGTATTGCAGAATGGGTAGGACAAAGTAGATCTAAATACCAGATGAACTTGTGATCAGGTACAGAAACATAATTGTTAATTTTTTTATTAAAAAATGCTTCCAATGAAATATATTAATAAATATTGGTTGTCTTGTTAAGCCTGAGTTATAGGGCCATGAAGTGTTCAGAGTAAGCATCACCCAAAGAAAACTTTTATTCTTGGGAGGGAATTGGTGTGTTTCCATTTGTATGGAGGCCAGTTATGTTAGGTGTAATTATGAACTCATCCTGGTATCTGGAATATGAGTGGCTGTGAAGTTGACAAGGGGTGGACTGTGATAGCTGATTATGTCATCTTGAGTAAGACATGCCCTACTAGGGCTGGGGAGATGGCTCAGCAGCATGACTGTCTTCCTGGCAAGCCCTAAGACCAGAGTTAGAAATCCATCCCAGCAAAATTATAGGTGTCAAAGACCCACCATATGGAGGACTGTAGCCAGATTGTTATGAAGATGACACAAAAAAGGGAAGACTTACTTTTGTTTCTATGGAGGTGCTGTAGTATTCACCATCAGTTTGGAAGTCCTCTCTTGGCTTTCAGCATGGACTCTTCAGTCTCCAGCTCAGAGGCTTCTGGCACAGACCCGTTGGAATACTGTATGGGGCTGTAAGCACAGACCCATACCACACACTACAGTGGGCTCAAAAACTTTAACTGAATTTTTTTTGATATCCAGTGCACACAACTTTTCAACTCCTCTACATTTGACTGTGTGGGCAGCAACTATAAGCCCATTTTATAAATTCTTCTGCATTTGTGTAACTTTCATTAAATGTTTCTCTAGAAAGCACTGGCTGTTGTGCTGTAATACTTGATATTGTATTATAAAAGTCACAGTCCATCTGATTTTTCACAATCAGAAACTCACAGCAGTATGGGATATGTCTTAGTACAAGTAGTGGTAAAATTACCACAAAGTTAGAAGTCACAACAATATAACCATAAAAATAAAATGGTGATGGTAAGAAAATAAAATTTTATGTAAAACATAATAATGACCCCAAACCTGAAAGTAAAACGGGTGAAATAATGTACGTGAAATAATATAATTATGCTGGGATATATTCAGGCTTTTTGTTAGGATATAAAAAACAAAGCATCCAGTAATCTACAAGTTGTGTGAAAACAAGTGAACTTTGTCAAAAGCACACATTCACATGTCTCTAAATATGCACATATATAAGATATACATACATAACATGAAATTCAAAATGATCTTTTTTACAAAGAATTTGAAGTATATACACAGTTAAAATCATCTCTAGTGGGAAATTCATCAATTAAAATATAATTAATAAAAATTTATTGTTTAGTGGTCTATATCCCCCAATGTTAAAAACTCAAAACTACATAAATACTAACCCTATTTGGAAGTGAAAAATGCATTTCAACTCACCTTGTTTCATTAGAAGTTATATGTTCATTTCAAAGACAATGACTTACACAAAAATATGTTAATTTTTATAGTAAAGACTACAGAGATATAGTTCAGATATTTATATGTGATTTACAGAAAAATGCAGAAGAGAAACATTCTAGGCTATCTCCTTCTGATTGTTTTCTAGAAAATTTATAAAGTAATATTGACATCAAACTATTCATTTAATGTATATTGGTATCCACTGTATGAGGAGTGTTTGCAGGATTTTCAAAACAGGCTTACATATATAGGGTCACTTTTCAATGTGACTTCTTTCATGTAGTTTCTAAAAACTATGCTCACTGAATGCTTTCCCCACGTTGCTTATATCCATAGGATTCCTCTCCAGTGTGAGATTTATGTCTATAAAAGGAGGATTCACTAGCAAATCTTTTTCCACATGGCTTACATGCATAGGGTTTCTCATCTGTGTGAGTTCTTTCATGTCTTTTACAGTATTTGTGTGTAGTGAATGACTTCCCACATTGATTGCATGCATAAGGCTTCTCTGTAGTGTGAATTCTTTCATGTGTCTGACAATATTTGTGTGTAAGAAACGCCTTCCCACAGTGCTTGCACACATAAGGTTTCTCCCCTGTGTGACTTTTTTCATGTATATTATAAGAACTTTTTGTAGCGAATGCTTTTCCACACTGCTTGCATATATAAGGTTTCTCCCCAGTGTGAATTCTTTCATGTATTTGACAATATTTTTGGGTAGTGAATGCCTTCCCACAATGATTGCACACATATGGCTTCTCCCCTTTGTGACTTTCTTCATGTATATTGTAACAACTCTTTCTACTGAATGCTTTCCCACATTGCTTGCATACATAGGGTTTCTCACCAGTGTGGGTTTGTGTATGTCTACGAAATGCAGATTTATCACCAAATCTTTTTCCACATTGCTTACAATTGTAGGGTTTCTCACTAGTGTGAGTTTTTTCATGTTCTTGACAATATCTGTGTGCAATGAATCCTTTTCCACATTGTTTACATACATACGGTTTCTCCCCAGTATGATTTCTTTCATGTATTTTATACCAACTCTGTGAAGTGAATGCTTTTCCACATTGTTTGCACACAAAAGTTTTCTTCCCATTATGATTTCTTTCATGCAATAGACAGTAACCCTGTGTAGCAAATGCTTTCCCACATTTTTTACACACATATGGTCTCTCCCCAGTATGAATTCTTTCATGGCTTTGACAATAACTGTGCGTAGTGAATGCTTTCCCACACTGCTTACATACATAGGGTTTCTCCCCAGTATGAACTCTTTCATGCATTTTACAGTTACTCTGTATTGTGAATGCTTTTCCACACTGTTTACATGCATAGGGTTTCTCCCCAGTGTGAATTCTTTCATGTATTTTACAATAACTCCGTGAAGTAAATGCTTTCCCACACTGCTTACATACATAGGGTTTCTCACCAGTGTGGGTTCGTTTATGTCTATTAAATGCAGATGTATCAGCATATCCTTTTCCACACTGAATACATACATAAGGTTTTTCCCAAATGTGAAATTTTTCATGAATTATATAACAGCTCTGAGTATTGAAGGTTTTCCCACATTGCTTGCATGCATATGCTTTCTTCCCAGTGTGAATTCCTTCATGATTTTCAGTGCCACTGGGAGTGCCAAAGATTTTCACTCTTTTATAACCTGTGAAGGTCTTCTCTCCAGGGTGTGTTCTTTCACTAAGATCAGAGTAGGTTTTGCCACATTTCTCATATTGATTGTGTTTCTCTCCAGTCTTTGTAATTGCATGCTTCTGAAGCGATTGGTGATCACTACAGGTTTTTCCATAGTCATTACACTTACTCAGCTTGTCATCAAATCCCACATACTCACGTGACTTCACTCCAGTATGAGATAAAATGGGCACATTTAATGATAAATGCCCCATCAAGGGCTTTCTACAAGCAAAGTTTCCAGGTAGCTTTAAAGCAGCTTGTTCCATGTTCACATTATCATTTTGAGTCCAAAGAAATATTTTTTCATGTTGATTCCAGGCTTTATATTGACAGAATTTGAATACTTCATCGTTTCTGTAAAGGAAAAGAACAAGAATATCAATCACAATAAAAAGGTCTCTATATCAATAATTCACCAGGACTAGTTCTGAACTGATGCCTAAGAAACTTTGAGAATGAATTGGTGGAATGCCCTTGAGGATGTTTCTAAAACTCCATTCCCAAAGGAAGGTATTCATTTGGGAATGTTAAATTGATATACAGTGGTCCCTCACTTATCACAGAGGTTACATTCCAGATAACCCCGCGATAAGTGGAAATCAGTGAAGTATCAACGTTATATTCACTTTAGTATTTATGTATATATTTAAGGCTTTATAAACCCTTTTCACGCTCTTATAAACTTTTCCCACACTTTGAAAAACACTTCTAATGTTCTTAACCATCTTCTAAGCTCATAAATCCAGGTAATTTTAACAACATACGTAAACTGTATGGTACTGCCGAATCCCAAGATACAGTGAAAAATCTATGATAAATAATTTAGACTAATATTTTCTTAAAACTCGGGAAACTGAGTCCACAAAAGTTGATCCATGAAATAGCAAGGGACCTTATGTTTACAATATATAAGTTTTAATTTCATTTTGGTCATTGATATCTATATATATCTATATATATCTATATATATCTATATATAGATATA